AGAACTGCACAGAGATTTGGGGGTTGGGGAGGTTGTTGTCTCTGCAGAAATCTTACTGGCTGGAGTCAGAAGACACTTTAACACCTAGCACCCAGCCTCCTTTGCCCAGATGCTTAACCAGGTTAAGGCTTCATCTTCACTGAAGAGTTTTAAAGTCCAGGCTCTTCCCATCCCCACTCTCTCCCAGACCTTGGGACAGGATGATTGATGCTTTCTGCCTTTTCTTCTGGCATTTACTTATTTTTGCCATTGTTGTTGTCTTCTGCTGCTTTTGGATTGTTTTTAAATGTTTTAACAATTGTAAAGCGCTTATCTTGATCGGGGTTAGAGGAAGCTGCATACAGTAGTATATTATAATTATTATATATTATGGCTCATTGCACAGTCAATCAGATGTTTAGACCACATTTGGCATTTTTGTCTGCCTACTGAGCCCTTCCCAAGGATCTAGGATAGGCAGATGTTATTTAATGATGTTAAAAGATATCTCGCAGGATATAAGCTATTCCATGTCAAGTTGCCTTTGCAATTGACGGATGGGGAATTTGTCAATGCTGATGTTATTCAAATAGTGTTCCAGATGTTTTGGGAGTGTGCCCAAGACATTCTTTTGCCATAGCTGTCCTTCTATTTTCAGGTCTTTGCATTTTGTGATTTTTCTCCAGTGTTTCCGTTGTCTCCAGGTACTGCCGTTGTTATTATAAATTATAAAAATAGTATAATATGAATCCATCCTATGTGGTTTGAATGAACATAGGAAGTGGATTTTCAGGATCCAGGCTCAAGAGGCGACCTCTGCTTGCCCTCTCAAGGGTGGATGGTCTCCTCAAGGTTTTTGAGGGGGACTTGAGGAGAATTGCTGCTCCCCGGGCCCACCGCGCGACTTACTCAATTCCAGGGTCGAGTTACCTCTTCCCACCTTTTTCTCTTCGCCTCAGGCAGCATCACGTTAACAGATAAACAGAGGCAAAGGGGGAGGGCCTTGCGCATGCGCGCGAGCACTCAAACAGGACGGTGTCGTTCGGAGGCTGCACGTGCATAGACCCCGCCCAGCCCATATGTGTCAAACAAACTGAGCCCGCCTTTGTTTTCTTTGAACATTCGGATTCCGCCTGCCCTTCGTCCGCTCCGCCTATGCCCTGTATCATCCAATCATATCTGGCTTATTTCTTCCTTTCCCCGCTCACCTCGGCAGATCCGCTCATCACACTCGTTCTCCACTTTCTAATGTTTCAAAGCTAAGCCACGCCCACTCTCACTTTTCAAGCCAATCAACCATCTCGTCACATTCATGTCTCCGCCCCCCTGCCCCGAGCTGGCTGTCTCAGGCAATCTTTTATCTTTCTCCTTCTATTTATCCACCTTTGTCTCTCTTTCTCCAACTTTTCGCAGAGTTCAGATGAGATTGGGTTTCGATATCTCATTTGGGTTTCGAGTTCTTGTTTCCCCTACACCAGGGGTCTTCAAACTTGGCCCTTTTATGGACTTCAACTCCCAGGATTCCTCAGCCAGCTATGCTGGCTGAGGAATTCTGGGAGTTGAAGTCCACAAGTCATAAAAGGGGCCAAGTTTAAAGACGCCTGCCCTACATGGATTTTTCCCCCAGCATGTGTGAATCCCTACCGTGTTCTTCCATTTTGGAATAAACAGCATTGGAGAGAAAGCACAAAAAGTAATAAAATCAAAGACATTAAAGGGAAAAGATGAGGGAAAAGACAACAGTGTAGATGTCTAGTGCAAGGGTAGGCAACCTTGGCCCTTTTATGACTCGTGGACTTCAACTCCCAGAATTCCTGAGCTAACCATGCTGAGGGGAAGGGAGAGGTTTCCAAGCTGAGCCATGCTGGCTCAGGAATTCTGGGAGTTGAAGTCCACGAGTCATAAAAGAGCCAAGGTTGCCTACCCTGATCTAGTGCATGCTTCTCAGTTTTGGCAACTTTTAGATGTGTGGACTTCAACTCCCAGAATTCAGAAGTCCACACTTGGAGTTCTGGGAGTTGAAGTCCACACATCGTAAAATTGCCAAGATTGAGAAACATCAATTAAATGTACCACAAATGATCTACATGCCATCACCAACTTGGCTTCCAACACATCCATTCATTGCATCCTATTTGCCTTTTATGTAAAAACTTCCTTTTGGATGATCTCATTGTTGAACTTTGTCCAACTACAGGTAGTTCTTGACTTACGATCATTTGTTTAGTGAACGTTCGAAGTTAGGACACTGAAAAAAGTGACTTACAACCAGTTCTCAAAACCACTGAAGCATCCCCGTGGTCACATGATCAAAGTTTGGGTGCTTGGCAAGGAGTGTGTATCTAGGACCTTTGCAATATCCTAGGATCATGTGATCGCCATTTGCGAACCATGCTGGCTTCTGACAACAAAGTCAGTAGTAGGAGCCAGATTCATTTAATGACCTCATGATTCATTTAAGTGCAGAGACTGGTCAACCATTTGTTTGAATGGATATAGCAGGGGTCTTCAAACCTGGCCCTTTTATGACTTGTGGACTTCAACCCCCAGAATTCCTCAGCCAGCATGCCTGGCTGAGGAATTCTGGGAATTGAAGTCCACAAGCCATAAAAGGCCCACGTTTGAAGACCCTTGCGATATAGGGTTTTCTGCTTGAGCAGGGGTTGGACTAGAAGACCTCCAAGGTCCCTTCCAACTGTTATTCTCTTATTCTGGTTCCAATAGGCCAGGGGTGTCAAACAGCTGGCCCGCGGGCCAGACGCATCACAAGGAAACCACACCCACCCCATTGCCAGCAATGGGAAAAAAGCTCCGATATGTTGCGCAACGTCACGTGATGTCGTGAGTTTGACAGGTCTGCAGTAGGCTAAGGACAAAGACTATACATACATTTGAACTTTAGTAACGTTCAAACTCATTATGCCTCATTTTAATGTGAAAACCACACCTATTGACTATAAGGATGAGCATGAACAAGTTCATATGAAGACTATTGGGATGCTATGAAATGTTATATGTTCTATACAAATCTACTGAGCATGCTTGCTTTATCACAGATAAATCAAATGATGCTAATTAGAATAACAGAGTAACAGAGTTGAAAGAGGCTTTGGAGGTCTTCTAGTCCAACCCCCAGAGCTTTTTTTCTCATAGAACGCCCAGAACGGAGTTCCGGCATCTTTTTTGGATGGAACCTTGTAGGGTAGGCAAGGCAGGTTGTATGACATATATGAGTTCCGGCACCTTTTTTTTTTTTTTTAGAAAAAAAGCACTGCCAACCCTATACCAGTGGTGGCGAACCTATGGCACGGGTGCCAGAGGCAGCACTTGGAGCCCTCTCTGTGGGCACACGTGCCGCTGCCCCAGCCTTGCCTCCGCCCGTGACCCACTCTTCACCAGCAGCCCCCCTGGAGGAGAGTCGCCCCCAAGCGTGGCCCACGCGGAGCAGCGCAGCCAAGGACATGGCAGCCAGGCAGCGTAGACAAGACTCTGCCCTCACGCCCCAACGCACACAGTGGATGCTGCGGGGCATGGGCAGAGAGTGTGGCTGCCATGCGCTGCTGGGCTGCCTGGGTGATCTGCGGCGGGCCCTGGAGGCGGTGAGTGGCCCTGCGGGCAGGCAGGGGGGGCGGGGCAGGGGGTGGAGCAGTGGCAGGCAAGGGGTAGAGCAGAGGCGGGGCCAGTTTTTGGGCACTCGGTCTCTAAAAGGTTCGCCATCACTGCCTTATACCATTTCAGACAAATGGTGTCCAATCTCTTCTTAAAACCTCCAGGGCTGAAGCACCCACAGCTTCTGGAGGCAACTCATTCCATTGATTAATTGTTCTGTCAGGAAATCTGTCCTTAGTTTTAGGTTAGTTCTCTCCTTGATTAGTTTCCTTCTGTTCTTTCTTGTCCTGCCTTTGGGTGCTTTGGAGAATAGCTGGACTCCCTCTTCTTTGGGGCAGCCCCTGAGATATTGGAACACTGATATCATGTCGCCCCCCTCGTCCTTCTTTTCATTAACCTACACCAGTGGTTCTCAACCTGTGGGTCAGGACCCCATTTGGGGTCGAACGACCATTTCACGGGGGTCGCCAAACAACACAGTCCGCCATTTTTTCCCCCTTTTCCTTAGCTGTGCTACTCCCTTTTATTCTATTGGCTTTTGAAAGCCAATAGAATAGACTCTCTTTAATAGAGTCTAATTCTATTGGCTTTCAAAAGCCAATAGGAATTGTCCAGGCTGTCTCTGCCCTGCTGAGCCCACCAAAAGTCCCATTCTGCAAACGGTGCTGCACCAGTTGAGTAGTCCTCGACTTACGACCGGTTGAGTAGTCCTCGATTTACAACTGGTTGGGGGTCGCGGCATTAAAAAGGTTGAGAACCACTGATCTAGACATACCCAATTCTTTCAACCGTTATTCGTATGTTTTAGCCTCCAGTCCCCTGATCATCTTTGTTGCTCTTCTCTGCGCTCTAGAGTCTCAACATCTTTTTTATATTGTAGTGACCAAAATGGATGCTATATTAATCCAGGGATTCCGAATGGCTGAACAAAACAAAGGTAGTTAAATCCAGGGCTGTTTTTAGTGGATCCATACCTCAAGATCCCCTCCCAGCAAATTAACCACCACCTTAGTAGTCTACTGGCTTTATGTAAGCTACCCTCTGACCAGATGGAAAAAGAACAATTGACACACAGAATCCTTCTTTGGCCACCTGCTGCGTCTCTGCTTACAGCTCATCTTTTTATCTCCAAGGGCTCACCCTATGGAATTACATTTCACTTCTCCGAGTTTCCCCAGACACTGTTTTCCCACTAAGTCTGCTTTGGATGGTATAAATTCATTTTTTTTTCCTTTTGAATTGGGTTGTTCTTTTGCTTGGGGAGGACACATTGTTAGTTTGTTTGCTTGTTCTTCCATTGCAAAAAATTGTTGGCCTTCCTCTATAAGTGGCCTTGGTGGGAAGGAGGGGAGGAGTGGAGAAGCAAAAAAGAAGACCAGCTCTCCTTCATCAAAGAAATTTGTGGGCTGAAGATGGAAGACGACTCTCAGCCAAAGAAACCTCCCAAAATTGCAGCCCTTGAGACAGGTCAGGAGGAAAGGGACGATTATAAACTTTTGGGTGATAGATTTTAAAAATAGCCTGTGTGGATTGTAAACCGTGGTTTGTGGCTTAGTGTATTGTATGAATCCAACCAGTTATGGGTTAAGCAAAGCATGTTTTTGTACATTTTGTAAATATGACCAGGAAGTTGTTAGTTAGATGCATTGGAGTATAAATGATTTGCCTTATTTAAGAGGAATCTGTAGATCAGTGGTTCTCAACCTTTTTAATGCCGCGACCCCCAACCGGTCGTAAGTCGAGGACTACTCAACCGGTCGTAAGTTGAGGACCACTCAACTGGTGCAGCACCGTTTGCAGAATGGGACTTTTGTTGGGCTCAGCAGGGCAGAGACAGCCTGGACAATTCCTATTGGCTTTTGAAAGCCAATAGAATTAGACTCTATTCAAGAGAGTCTATTCTATTGGCTTTCAAAAGCCAATAGAATAAAAGGGAGTAGCACAGCTAAGGAAAAGGGTAAAAAAATGGCGGACTGCGTTGTTTGGCGACCCCCGTGAAATGGTCGTTCGACCCCAAATGGGGTCCTGACCCACAGGTTGAGAACCACTGCTGTAGACTATTCAAAACTATTGTTTCAGAAAATCTCTAAAAAGGTCTCTTGTTAACATCTTGTTTGGTATAATGGTTAAGGCATCTAGCTAGAAACTAGGACAGGGGTAGTCAACCTTGCTCTTTTATGACTCGTGGACTTCAATTCCCAGAATTCCTGGCTCAGGAATTCTGGGAGTTGAAGTCCACGAGTCATAAAAGAGCCAAGGTTGACTACCCCCGAACTAGGAGAAGGTGAATTCTAATTCCACTTCAGGCATAACAGCTGCTTGGGTGATTTTGGGCCAATCACCAGGCGACTGTGAGTTCTAGTCCCGCCTTAGGCATCAAAGCTGGTTGGGTGATTCTGGGCCAATCACCAGGAGACCTTGAGTTCTAGTCTCACCTTAGGCATGAAAGCCAGTAGAGTGACTTTGAGTCAATCACCAGGAGTCAGTGAGTTCTAGACCCATCTTAAACCTGAAACAATAACTTTGGGCCACTCCACTCTCTCAGCCCAACCCACCTCACAAAGTTGTTGTGAGGAAAGTAGGAGGAGAAAGACCTATTATGTATGTTTGTTGACTTGAGTTACTTATAAGGGTAATGAAAGTGGAATAAAAGGTCTATTTCACCCCTATCCTTGCTCAGACTCTGAACCCAAACTACTACAACCTTTTTCTACGGATAAGATTGTGATCCGCTTGCAAGAAGCCTTGAGGAATGGTGGGATATAAAATAAACAATGGTGTAGGGTAGAGGTCATCAACCTTTCTCGGTTGGCGGACCGGAAGGGAGGGGGAAGCAGTTTATAGGTGCACACGGGCCCACAAGCATGCACATGATGCAAACGGAGTGGGGCTAGCGCTTGCTTGATACTCGCTAACCCTGTCCCGTTCTTGTGTGGCTCAGCGCCATCCTTTTTTTTTATTAAAAGTTTTAAAAAAAATTTACAATATATATCCCAAATCCCTCCCACCTCTCTCCTCTCCCCCACTTCCCAGAGCTGATTACAGGGTTACAAATAAACAATCATAATCTAACGTTACCCAACTCTACTAGCAATCAAATCCATAACCTACTTTAACTCCTTTTCAAGATAAATATTAACAAATTAAAAACCAAAAATAATAACATAATTAAACAATAATACTAAAAATAATATAAATTCAACCATATTAAACTACTAAAATTAATCTAAAATTTACTCATAAGCTAGATAATACTTTTTAGTCTCATATTTATTCTGAATATAATCTATCCATCTTCTCCAAACCGAAATATACCTTTCTTGTGAATACTCCTTCAAATAAGCGGAATTTTTTGCCATTTCTGCTAAATTAGACACCTTAAATATCTATTCTTCCATAGTAGACAAAGAATCTTTCTTTCAATATTGCCCCACCAGTGATCTTGCAGCTGTTATAAGATTCAACATCAAATTAATTTCTTTAACATCAAAATCTACAATAACCCCTAATAAAAATAATTGCGGCGTAAACTTTATCTTTCTCTTGAAAATCTTTTGAATGTTCCACCAGATCTTAATAGCGCCATCCGTTTTTGTGCCCGCATTGCCGCATCACCCCATTTTTCCTCCCGAGGCGCAGCAGCGTCCCATTTTTCCACCGTGCAGCGTGGTGGTGTCCTGCAGGACAGCGGCAGCCCCTTTTTGTGCCCACAGCATGGCGGCAGCATCCCATTTTCCCCCCGAGGCACAGTGGCGTCCCGTTTCACGTCCTGCAGCACGGTGGCAGTCCGTTTTCATGCTACTGCAAGTGGTGTGTGTGTGTGTGTGTGTGCGCGCACACATGCTCACACTGGCCAGCCTATCCTGTGGCCCAGTGACCAGCAGGCCACGGCCCACTACTAGGCTGCTGCCCACAGGTTGGGGACCCCTGGTGTAGGGTCTCCTGCTTGGGTTAGATGACTTACAAGGTCCCTTCCAATGGTGTACGGTCTCCTGATTGGATTAGATGACTTACGAGGTCCCTTCCTATTCTATTCTATTCAAATAAGTGCTGAAGGAAAAGTCTTCATCATGGTTCAGTCCAAGCCGGGAATAAACAACATGGCGATTGCTTTAGAAAGAAGGTTGCAGTTTATTGAAGAGGAGAGCCAGACAGAAAGATGGCTCTGGAAGAAAAGAGAGAGAGCACATGTAGTGAGTGGGTTTTTATACCCTCTGGGGCTCCTGTTCCTGTTTGAGCTTTGTATTTCCTGTGTCATGTACTTTTGACCTGAGTCTGAGTGTGCCCCTTTGGCATCTGTGGATTAATCCTATTATATCCTGTTTTAGAGTTTGGGTGGGGTATGTAGATTTTAGGTGTCTTTGTCTTCTTAATCTTCTAGCTTCAACCTTCCTGGATTATTTACATCTGCATTTGTACAGAGCTGGTTACTGCTTGGGGGAGGGAGACTTGGGGCTATAAAGAAAAACTAGGCATGTTTTTCTGTCTCTTTAATATTTCTTTCTCCCACAGAAACACCCTGCCCAGTGACATTTTGCTTTTTAAAAGAGGATATAGTAATGAAATTAATGAAGACTAAAGAAAAATAAAAAACTTTCTCATATGCTCTTAGGTCCTGGACCTGGATGTTACAGCTTACCTCCCACCATTGGATTTGTCAACCATGATTATACCCGCTTTGCCAGTCCTGCTTATTCCTTTCGTCAGAGGCTCAACAATCATGGTGAGCAACAGCATTGCTGAGCGTCGTAACATGTAAGACGGGGATGGTCACTCAAGAGATGGTTCCTGTTGAGTCCTTGGCGAAAAGCAGACACGAGAAGCAGTTGGAGTTCTCAGTTTTCTTTATTCTGCATTCAGCTTACAAGTAGATGGCTTCTGCCGCGCCCAAACACTCGCAGCCTCTTATATAGGCAACTCCTGGGTCAATGTGTTACTTTTCCCGCACCAGCACCCGCGCATGCGCACGGCGCTGGCGACAGCCTGTCTGGTCCCGGGCAGCTTTGCACCTGCCCGGGACTGCCTGCAAACGCCCCGAGCCGTTTGCATGGCTCGGGACATAACACCCCTTTCCCCCGGACTAAAACTACTACCAACATATAATCATTTATTTTATGCAGTGTTCTGCTTCTCAGTGCTCCTATCGTTACCTGGCTTTTGTTTAGCCAGCAATGTTATGTAATCTTCTAAGTATTTAGGAGATTTCCTTGCTCTCTGTGACCTTCTCAGTTCTGGGTTTCTGACAGGTGTTCCCTGACTGAGGGGTGACAAGAGCCTGTTCCCCTTATCAAGCCTTGGTGCCTTCCAAGGACTTTGCCCCAATGCCTGGCCTGCGTGCTTGCCCACCAGGCTCGTCAGGCCAGGGCTCCTGTCACTTTGTGACCTGGTTGACCCGCCTAGCTGTAGGCCCTGGGGCCCCTTGAAGTGATAGCCACTGCTGGGCGTTTCTGCAGACCCTCCTAAGTCCAACCAAGACCTGTCAGAGGGTTGTCCATCCCTTAAGTCCCGTTCTGTATCCGGACTTGTGTGGGATTCTGTACCTTCCCAAAATTCAGTTACTTCCTGATTTGGGCTAGAGGTGTTGTAGTCGGGACTTGGCTCCTCGACCACCTCCCTGTATGTGTGACCCCCTGTAGGATTTGGGGTAAGGTCAGGCCAACTCTGGGGATTGTGTGCCAGCTCTCTTGCGGGGAATGATTTGTTGGGATGCCCCCGGGTATCCTCCGTGACTGGAGTGCTGTGTGATGTGTGTGGAAAGTGAGTATGCCCCCGGGGTGACTCCCTGGCTGGAGTAGGCATGAGTGCCTGTTGTGTGGGTAAGCTCCATGAATTCCTTTTCGGAGCACTTGCAGAAGCTTGAAATGGGCCGTCAGTGGCTCCATCAGTGGAGATGGGCAGCAGCTCGTGCCCTTCCCTTTGCTCCAAAGGGTCCCCCTCCCCCCTGGAAAAGACCCAGGAGTCTCAGCTGGAATATGCCGCCTAGGGCGGAGTTGGTCGATGTGCCTGCGCAGGACACGACCGTTGTCCAGAGCTACCTCGTAGGATAGAGGACCCGTGACCCTGGAGACAGAAGCGGGGACCCATGTATGACCAGGCCCGTAATTGCGAGTCCAGACCGGGGCACCCTCAAGTAGTTGTCTAGGTGCCCTAGGATGTGAGGTAGATGAAGGCAATCTGTCCGGATGCAACCGGTCAAGTTTAGTAGTAAGTTGACGCCCCCAACGAAGTTCAGTTGGGCTTCTCCCTGTAGAAGTGGACGGTGTGGTGCGGTAAGAAAGGAGAAAGTCAGCCAACCTGTGATGCCAGTCCCCGTAGGTAAGTCTTTTCAAGGCGTTCTTTGTGATGCGCACCATACGTTCAGCCATACCGTTGGTGGACGGGTGGAAGGGTGCAGACGTGGCATGACGAATCATGTTAGCCTGTAAGAAAGCTTGGAATTCGGAGGAAGTGAATTGAGGGCCGGTGTCAGACACAATGACATCTGGAAGCCCGTGTGCAGCAAAAATCCCCCTCAGTACCTGAATAGTCTTTGCAGTGGTGGTGGATGAGACAGGTACAACCTCAAGCCATTTTGAATGGCTGTCAACAAGGACCAAGAAGAACTGGCCCTGAAAGGGCCCAGCGTAGTCAATGTGCACCCTAGACCATGGGGACTGTGTTTCCTCCCATCTATGCACGGAAGCTTGGGGCATCTCTGGGCGAGATCGTTGGCACAGGTGGCATGCATGCACCTTAGCCTCAATATCTTTATCTAAACCAGGCCACCACAAGTGGCTGCGCGCAAGAGCCTTCATACGAACAATGCCAGGATGACCCTCGTGGAGGGATTCTAAGACCCTAGTCCTCATTGAGGTGGGAATGACAACTCTGTTTCCCCAAAGCAGACAACCCTGAGAAAGGGACAGCTCGTTCCTTTTGGACCAGAAACTCTGAAACTCAGGACTAGGGCAGTGCTCAGGCCAACCAGACAAAACCCAGGAACGGACACGTGAAAGTGTGTGATCTGTACCTGTTTCAGCGGCAACATCCCTGGCACTAAGAGGGAGCTCGGGCAAGGCTTGGATTGATAGAATGTTGACAGCTGGCGCAGGGTCAGCTTCTACTACTGGCAGAGGCAATCTACTGAGGCCATCAGCATGGCCCATTTCTTTCCCAGGCTTGTGGAGTAAAGAAAAATCATATGCAGACAAAAAAATAGACCACCTAAGCATTCTAGGGGAAATGATTTGGGGAGTCTGCTTACGTGTGGTAAACAGTCCCAGCAGAGGCTTATGGTCAGTGAAGACCGTGAAGTGCCTGCCATATAGAAAGTCATGGAATTTTTTAATTCCAGCAACAACAGCCAGAGCCTCCCTGTCTATCTGAGCGTAGTTGCGCTCAGCAGAAGACAATGTTCTGGAGTAATATGCAACAGGAACCTGAGTTCCATCAGACCTGAGGTGGCTCAGGACAGCTCCAACCCCGTAAGGGGACGCATCACAAGCGATGCACACAGGAAGGGACTCGTTGAAATGTGCAAGTACACTGTTAGAAGTGAGCAAAGCCTTGACTTTGTTAAAACAACCCTCATGCGTTTGTGACCACTGCCACACTGCTTGTTTGTCTAGTAGCCTGTGAAGAGGTTCAGCTACACTAGCTTTATGTGGAAGAAAAGAATTGTAGAAATTCAGGAGGCCTAAGAAGGCCTGAAGTTCGGCCTTGGACTTTGGCCTAGGTGCTTCTAAAATAGCAGTTAGTTTGGATTCAGCAGGGTGAATCCCAGCAGCATCAATTTTGAACCCCAGAAATTCAGTAGAAGGCACCCCAATCTTGCATTTGTCTTTTTTGAGCTTGAGGCCTGATTTCCTGAATCTTAACAGAACAGCCCTTAGCCTTTCAGCTAGAATGTGTGTGGAGTCTCCTGCAATCAAGACATCATCAAAGTAGGGGCAAACCCCTGGTATACCTCGTAGTGTGTTTTCCATTACGCTTTGGAAAATCCCAGGAGCGACATTCACTCCAAACTGTAGCCTTTTTACCTTGAAGGCCCCTCTGTGGGTCACAATAGTCTGAGCTATAGCAGCATCATCAACAGGCAGCTGTTGATATGCTTGAGCTAGGTCAAGCTTTGCAAAAACACGCCCCCCCTTGAGGGAGGCCAGGATGTGACTGACCACAGGAACAGGATAGGCATGTTGCTGCAATGCCTTATTAGTGTGCATTTGTAATCAGCACAAATGCGAATGTCCCCATTTGCCTTTAGAGGCGTGACAATGGGGGTCTCCCAAGGACTGGAATCAACAGGTTCTAGGATTCCCTGTTGGATCAGTTTGTCTAACTCAGTGTCAATTTTACTCTTTAAAGCAAAAGGGACCCTTCTTGCTTTAATTCTAATGGGAGTGACAGTGGGGTCTAGCTTTAAGGACACAGGGGTCCTTTGAATGTGCCCAGCTGGGGGCTGAAAACATCTGCAAATTCTTTGCAGACTTCCTGTAGGTCGAGTGTTTGTAAACTGTTGAGTCCTGTGACGTGTATCCCCAGGGCCTCAAACCAATCGAGTCCTATGAGACTCGTTCGTTCACCCCCTACTACTAATAAGTCTAGTGGACCTTCAAAACTCTTGTATTGCACGTTAAGGGTGGCCTCCCCCTTAACACACACTCTTGAATTTTGAAAATCTGTTAACACAATGTCAGAAGGCCTTAACTTGACCTGAGTTCCACTACCGGAACAAATCTTCCTAAATGTATGCAAGGAGATGATGGAAAGGGCAGACCCTGTGTCTAGTTCCATAGTTAATGGGACCCCTTGTAGCTTCACCTTGAGTGACAGCTTTTTCTTAATGGGCTTGTGTGTGCCTGTCCTAAGGATGCTTCTTCGCGAAGCGCAAAACCCTACCCTATTCTGGCTGGGGAATCTGGTACCTTTCAGGCGCAGTTCTTCCTGAGGTTGTACCTTTCGTCAGCCCAGACACACAGCTGCAATGTGTCCTTGTTTGCCGCATGCCCAGCAGGTAGCGGAGCGGAACTTGCAGTCGGTTCTCCTGTGGCGACCTCCACAGCCGATGCACTTGAGCAGAGCTGAAGAGCTTCCCTTCTGATTTTCTTCCTTCGTGGGGTGGAGACGGTCGACTTCCTCGTCCGGATCCTCCTCGGAGTTTCTTTGGACGTCTTCCTGGTGCACGGATGCAACCTCTGGACTGTTTCTGATCGGCCGCATGTTCTTGACAGCGCCGCCTGCTGCTTCTTCTGCGGTGACTTCTCTTAAGGCATCTTGGAAGGACAATTCTTCTTTAGCGAAAAGTCTCTGTTGTAGATCTCGATGCCTTAACCCGCACACGAATCGGTCCCTCAGTCGTTCTTCAAGGACTTTGAACTCGCAGTGCTTGGCGGCCTTCCGTAATGCGGCGATGTATTCTTTGGCCGACTCACCGGACCGTTGATCCCTCTGCTCGAAGGTGTGGTGCCATGCGATGACGGACATCTTGGGGTGGAAGTGCTCCTTCAGTAGCTTCTTCAGATCTGCGTAGCTGACAGACTCTACTGGAACAGGTGCTGCAAGGTTTTCTGCGATTTCGAAGGCGTCTTGACCGCAAACACAAAGCAGGGTGGCAGCCTTCAAGCTCTCTTCCCTCACTTGGTTTGCCTTGAAGTAGTTCTCCACCCTGGATACGTAGGACTCCCACCGCTCTGGATGTGAGACGTCGAACTCTGAAAGCCTTCCAACTTTCGCCATCTTCAGGAG